TTCAAACAGCACATTAATCCAAGAAAGTTTTTCCTCTGATATATTTTAAAATAGATATCACTGTATCAGTAATATAGGGAAACACATAAAGTATATTTCAGAAAAATGTTATCTTAACTATAGAAAAACTTTCATCTTAAATGTCTATTATATACTCACCCACGCTCTTCACACAGTTCAATCTTAGAACAGAATAACTCATCCACAGCCAGTCGTATCAAGTTTCCATGTGGAATTTCTTGAGGAGGACTATAATTGTAAAATTCATGTAAGAACTGCTTCAACATTTTATAGGCCAATACATTATTAGGATAACAAATTCTACAGGTTGATCCATTATTAGCAGAACCAAGTATACCAAGCACAATCTGTTATCCATTTTTGTATTTCTTACAGAAACCAGTTGAACTCAACTCAATAAATATTCATGCATAAAGGTTTTTTTTTTTTTCTTTCCTATCAGGAATTGAACTGTGCTTAGCCAGTGAGCCACATCCCTAGCCCTATTTTGTATTTTATTTAGACTCTTGAGGTCTCACTGAATTGCTTAGCTCCTTGCTTTTGCTGAGGCAGGCTTTGAACTCTCAATCCTCCTGAGCTTCAGCCTCCTGAGCTGCTGGCATTATAGGTGTGTGCCACCCCGCTCCCAGATAATGCATAAAGTTCTCTAAGAAACAAAGTTTTCTGTAAACCAGTCTTGGAAATACTCAGTTGTTGCTACTCTAATTAACAAAACCAAATAAACAATGTCCTCCAGCCCCTAAAATCAGAGGCAATATGTTCTAGTGAGTAAAAACTAGGGCTCAGAGTCAGGAGAGCAGCTGATAATTTACATGACTAGATGCAAATCACAAACATTCTTGGCCTCAGTTACCTGATCTGTTAATAAAATTTTTCCTATATTCTTCAAAGTTGTTTTAAATGCTAGATTTTAAAAAATAGAAGCTTAAACAGCTTATAACAATGAACATATATTATTAAGTAAGAGAAGTATAAAATATTAGTATCACTGTACAATTACATTTTATTATATTTTTACAAGATTTACAAATAAAAAATACTAGTTTTTAAAAACTATTTTTTTTTTTCTTTTTCTTTTTCAGTGCTAGGGATCTAACCTAGCCCTGCACATGTTAGGCAAGTACTCTACCAACTGAGCTACATCCCCGGACCCACTAGTTTTTAAAAAACAAGATAAATTTATGAAACACTTTTTAGCCCATTATGATGTAAAGTAAGAATATTTTTTTCTTCTGATACATTTAAAAGCCAGCATCACTGTATCAGCAATATAAGGGAAAAGACAAAGTATATTTCAGAAAATGTTAGCTTAATAAATTAATTAGGGTGTGTGATGTACATTCCCAAAGGGAATTAGGCTGCTTTTCTGAACCACAGGGCCAAATATCCTTTCTGACAACAACATGTTTGGGTCTGTTTCTCTTCCATGGGCAATTATTCCTTTTTCAGCTCATGTTCCCTGGGGGATTTAATGTTTCCCAGCATTCCACTAGGGCTTGCCAGTTTGGCCTTCCTCTCTGTCATTTACCAGTTTGGATGTCTGCCCTCTCTCTGAAAGCCAAAAATACTGTGCTGCTCCTAGCACGTTTCCCAGTCTGTATAAAAGCTCCTCACATCCATATCCTTCCCAGGTATTAGATGCCAAATTTGGGTTTTCTTTCTATAATTATGTCCTGGCCTTGACATAAGATTTTAAAAAAAATTCTCTTGTTCATCTGGAACTAGCCTTTCTGACAGAGATCCATTTGAAAAATGAAACATTCAAAAACAGGAAAGTGCCCTTTAATCCATTAGTTTGCTATTGAAAGGTTACACATACATACATACATATATATAATATTGATTTAAAAACAAAAGCCATGAAACAGACATTACAGCAACTTACTTTATATTAATTGTGCGCTGCTGATCTTCCTGTACTCGAGTCGGGCATCGCCAGTTGGAACAGTAACTCTCTTGAATGGTAGACATGAGATTTTCGAGATTTTTTGTAAAGTTATCATGCTCATTCCCAAACAAATCAATTATTAATGAAGCTTTATGAACTTCAGATTTGTATTGCTGTTTTTCCATTTTGTCCCAAATCCAAAGTAGCTTCACAGTTGTAAAACTGTAGGTGTCCATTAAATAAAGAAAACAGTCTACAAACTCTCTACCAAAATGAAGAGAGAGTTCCCTAGGAAAATTTTCATTTTCATTAAGAATGACATATAATAACATCAAGAATCCATCTATGGTGCAGGTATTTTTCAGTCTTATTTCAACATAGAGTGGTGTACAGGATACTGCTTTGCGGCCAGCTTTGATAGTAAAAACACCTCCCCAAGGAAGAACAGGCCTCCAAAATGATCGATCTTGGTTATAGTTATTTTTAATTGATGCTTTGATCTCTTCAAACAGTGTCTTCATCCTGCATTTGAAAAGTTTAAAACAGAACATGTAAATGCATGTACAGTTTCAGGGGCAATATTTATGATCTCCATAAAGACCATTTAAGAAGACAGAACTTTTTTTGAGGTACAGTATAGCCATCTGATAGGCATGTATATTAATTATATTGCAGATTTTATCTGTATAGGAAAACCCTATAATAAAAAAAATTCTAAATAAAAATAAACTAAATTTGTTTAGACATATTCCCAAAGTAAACCTCCTCTTTCCTTTAAAATTTAAGCTGTACTTCCATTTCCTTATATTTGTGGTTCCCCTTAAGAAACTGATATAGTGGAATCTTTAGTTTGGGGGTATAGGATAAGAGCCACTTAGTGTTCTTTATATTAATCATACTATACATTTTATCTGCAGTATTAAAAAACCTGTGTATAGCACCTGTTGATATAGACAAAGACTAATTCTGGCATTTAACTTCCCCTCACCTTAAGGATAACTAAATACTTTCTTTTCAAAGCCACTGACACTATTTTGAAAAACATGTTTGTATCCTAAGTATGTTTTATAAAGCCAAAAAATTTTTTTCGAAGTTCCTATTAAAATTGTATTGGAAAAAGTTACTTCATTTTACTTGGGACAAATAGATGTATAAACTAAAAACATATTGTTTTCTAACTTTTACAGAAAAGTGTATTTTTATGAAAAAAAGGAAGCATCTGAAGAATAAGAACAGGGAATGAAGTGACTGAAGTCGGTGTCTTATACTAACCATCTTTTCAACTGCTTCATTTTCCCAAGCACAACATGAGCCCAATCCCCAATAATACTGCAGACCTGTGGGTTTTGTGTGAAAAAATTAAGTTCAAATCTATTTCACAATACTAGCCAACTAAAAATTCAGTTCTACAATATATTAGATAAAACACATGCAGTGTTTTCCATCTGAAGCAAGATACTGTGGACTCTAAAATATTCAACACTATATTTAGTTTGAAGTGTAAATGTTTATATATAGTCTGCTAACATGGCATGTCGGAGGTCAACCACTTAGAAATAAGAGGGTGTGGCAAATCTAAACTTTAGGAAAACACACTCATTTCTTAATAGAAGCTAACTTTCGTTTTCAGAAATTTTAAAAAACCATAAGCATTCAAATATTTTAAAAATTAAAATACACTTTTTCATGATTTGAGTTATATCTCTTGAATTTTAAAGAACCCTGTAGCAGGTTTAAGATTGCTTAATAAGCTTGAGTTCAGATTCCTAATACTGCATTGGAAAGGATGATTTAATCTAGTATGTTTTCAAATTATCTCTTAAACATGACCAAATGAAGGTAACTGTAGCTCTTCAAAGCAATAGTTATAATCTGAGAAAATTAAACCACAATGCTACACATGGCATGAACCTAACTTTAGCAAGGGAAGACTGGAAGAACTAATGGACACTGAACCTAGTTTAAGCATTAATTTGGTGATATGCTCAAAAGTAGAGTGCAATAAGAATAGGGAAAAGGAAAAAAAAAACAGATGGAGAGATGGCTGCAGACAACTTTAAATTGCCTTAAGTTTTGCCACATCGTTGAAAAGGTTGTTCTGTTAGGCAATGTATTAGAAACACTGGAGGACTTACTTTCCTGCCTCAACAGGGCCTCCAGTTGAATAAATCTGGAAAACCCTCCTAACCTCCATTTCCTTGGCAAAACACCACCTTTTCTTTCCAGTCATTCCCAAGAGTGGCAATTTGTACCCCAAGTTGGCAGAAAGGATCAGACTACCTGCCCTAGGCACTGAATGCCATACCTCCAAATAATTCAGAAGTCCTAGAGTCCCCCCTCGTATAAGCGCCCCCGAAATACTCCTCTGAAAGAACGAGCACGCGCTCCTCTTGGAAGCGCTGCGGGACAGGGACCTGCGGCGCGCGCGCTAGGGACACCCCTTTCCAGCTCTCTCCTCTGGCCACGCCCACCCGGCTGCGCTCCCTGGAGGCCTGGCACCGAGGGCTGGCTCCGCACCGAGGGCGAGTCCCGGAACCTGGAGCGAGTGAGACTGCTGGGCGCTCCTGCCTCCATCCGGGCAGTGCCCTCGCCGAGAGCCTGGGACTGCGAGCAAATGGGCGGGAAGGCCGGGTCGCGGAAGGCATTCACACATCGGCCAGTCTCTGTCCACTAGGAAACTGAATCCTCGTACCTCCCCGGGGACCGAAAACCGCCGGTGCCGCCGCACCCGTCGTCGCCGCCGCTTGCTCATGGAGAGCCAGGGCTGCCACCGCTGCCGCCGCCGCCTCATCTACTAGCACCGCGGGCTGTCTCGGCCTCCCCCCGCGTGAGTGCTGGGCTCCGGCACGGCCTCCATCGCACCCGCCGCGGCGGGAGCCACAGCAGCTCCAGCGCCCAGGCCTGATCCGACCGGACCCACGGAGCCAGGACCGCGGGAGGCAGGACGCGTCGCTTCTTATTACGGAGGAAGATTCGGCCTGACCTCCGCCCCCCTCCCCCCAGACCCCAGTGTCCAGCTGCCTAACCGCTCTGCTGCGCAGGCGCGAAGACGCCCTGGCCAAACGTGCGTGTATCGAGTGTGTATACAACGTCCAGAATTGCCCAATGGGAACCAGGATCAGGTGTGGGGGGCGGGACCTCGCGGAGAGGGGTGGGGCTCCAGTGTGAGAGGGAGGGTGGGGCAGCCGGAAAAGGGTTGGGTTTGCACGGAGGCGGAGCTTATTGGCAAAAGCGATTGGCTTTTTGAGGTTTGTGCCATTTTAGAATTTTACTTCGTTTCCTCTTAAATTCTTTATTCACATGGGAGAAGTTCTGTTTTCTCACTAAATTGTGGATCTATAAGATTTCAGTTTAATGATATATTTAGGAAAATATTGAATTGGTGTGTCATATGCTAGTGTTCAAGATTAGCTAATATGCTGTAATTTACAATGAAAGTTAAAACCATTTAAAAAATTAGATAGCCTTAACCCCATTTTAGGGTTGAAAAAGTCAGGGTTTAAAAAATTAGTTTTGTACATGACAGATTTCCTCACAGTAGGTGACAGAGCTGGAAATTGAAGTTAGGATTGCTTAATACTAGAGTTGTGGGGCTCAGCCACTGTTTTTATTAAGCCCTCGTTTTTTGTATTTTTTTTTCAGTTACTCTTCCGTTAAAAAGTAAAAGCCCCACAGACTCTGCTAGGAGAGAATGGGCCACCCTCTATCTGTAATTAGAAATGTAGACGTTGAGATTTTTTTCCCATCCAGCCATTGGACAATGATTGAAAGCTGAAGACTAGCCCAGAGGGGCATTGTATTTCTCACAGGTAGATCTAGGGAAGATTGGATGCCTTTTTTTTTTTTTTTTTGGTAGTTTTGGATGGACAGCAAGCCTTTATTTTGTTTATTTATTTTTATTCCATGCTAAGGATGGAACCTAGTGATTCACACATGCTAAGCAAGCACTCTGTCACTGAGCTACAGCCCTAGATGCCTTTTTGAACAGTATAATGGTCAGCAAGGCTGTGGCACTGACCTTACTTATGAATCTTTTTGAAGGGGTCTAGTGATACAGGGATGGAAGCTGGGAGTACAATTTAAGATAACTAGTGATAAAAATAAATGGATGTTTTAGAGTGGGGGTGAGGGAATATGACTCTGCTCCCCAAAATATAACTAATAACTGAAAAAGCCTGCTTTTGGTTTTCTAATTTATTATGGCATTTAATGGGAAAAAAAAACATTGGTTTTTTTCACTAAGGATTTGAGAGATTAAATACAAAACACAGAAAATAATTCACATAGTATTAAACTTACCTTGCAAGTAGAAAAGCCTTTTAAAACTGTTAAATATGTGGATTATATGTTACATTCACATGGAGTTCATTTTATACTGATTATATCATTTTCTTCCTGATAACAGACATAATGGTGGTTGACACCTGTTCCAGACAATGTCAGTGAGATGACTCTTTAAACCCTTTAGGTTCAGCAGAGTGGAAGAAGTGTGGATTCTTTGCATGCTTGTGTGATTCACAAATCTCACTGAGGCCTTTAACTGAGATTTCCATTCTTTCCCCCTTCCAGTCTCCTTAAAATCTTTTTTTTTTTTGGGGGGGGGAATGGGTATTAGGGACTGAACTTAGGGGCACTCGACCACTTAGCCACCTCCTCAACCCTATTTTGTATTTTTTTTAGAGACAGGTTCTCACTGAGTTGCTTAGTGCCTCGATGTTGCTAAGGCTGGCCTTGGTCTTGAAATCTTGCTGCCTCAGCCTCCTGAGCCCCTGGGATTACAGGTGTGTGCCACCGTGCTGGGCTCAATCTCCTTAAAATCTGACAGCTATTTGCAGATTTTTAAAATAATATTAATGAGAGATAATTGACATACAATAAACATGGAGCACATTTAAAGTATACAATTTGCAAAGTTTTGACATACACCCTCCACACTGAAACCATTGCTTTGATTAAATGAATATGTCCATTACTTTCAAGTTTCTCTCCTGCCCCTTTGTAACTTCCTCCCTACCTCACACACCTAAGCAACAACAGGTCTACTTTCTGTTAGTATGGATTCATCTGCATTTTCTAAAGTTTTATATAAATGAAATCACAAATGTATCCTTTTTTGGTCTTTTTTTTTCACTCATTTTCTGTGTACAATAGTTCATTCTTTTTTAAAAAAATATTTATTTTTTTGTTGTAGTTGGACACAATACCTTTATTTTATTTATTTTCATGTGGTGCTGAGGATCAAACCCTGGGCCCATGCATGTGCTAGGCGAGCGCTCTACCACCAGGCCACGACTCTAGCCCAGTAGTTCATTCTTTTATTATTACAAAGTGTATTCATGGGTTTATATGCCATCTGAATTTCTTTTAGAGTCTAATTAGATCTTCATTTTATTTTTACAAAAAGTGGATTGCTTATTTTCTTAAATTTTGAAAGTTTTTAAAAATGTATCCTGGATACAAGGCCTTTGTCAGATAAATGCTTTGTAAATATTGTCTCCCAGTATGTAGTTTGTCTTTTTATTCTCTTAACAGTGTGTTTTGAAGATGTGTGTGTGTGTGTGTGTGTGTTTTTTTGTGTGTGTGTGTGTGTGTGGTGTTAGGGATTAAACCCAGGGCCTTGTGCATGTAAGGCAAGCGCTCTACCAATTGATCTATATCCCCAGCCCAAGTTTAAATTTTAATGAGGTCCAATTTATTATTTTATGGACCATGTTTTTAGTTTATCTCTAAGAAATATTTGCTTACTAAAATTACAAAGACTTCTTTCTGTGTCTTTTAGACTGTACATAGGTTTATGATTTACTTTTTTTAAAAAAATATTTTTTTTAAGTTGTAGTTGGATACAATACCTTTATTTTATTTATTTTATGTGGTGCTGTGGATCAAACCTAGTGCCTTGCACATGCTAGGTGAGTACTCTCTCACTGAGCTACATCCCCAGCCTTTATGATTTACTTTGAATTAACTTTTGTACATGATTTGAAGCATGGATTCAAGTTTATATTTGTTGCAAATAGATAATTATTCCAGAAATAGTTGTTGAAAGACTATTATTTTTCTACTGGGTTGCCTCAGTCAAACTAATTTTTTTTTTGTCAAAAATTAGTTGTCCATTTTATATTTATTCAACTTCAAATCTATGTCAGACAGTGTGCTAGCAATGAAGATATGTATCATTAAGTGTTTTTTGGTTGCAAAGACTAGAGACAAATATTCCTAACTCAAATAAAATAATACACTTATTGTAAGGATCTAAAGTATAATAAAATTAAAGGAAAAGCTGAAAATCAGCTGTTGGCTACTTTCACTGATAAGGGAGTAGGTAGTTTCCCAAAGGATAATGAGGCCCTATCAACAGAAGAAGAGAAAATTGTTGTAGGTGTCTGCTACAGCAGTGCTTCTTAACATTTTTTCCCCATACCAACACATGATAAATGATAAGAATTGAGCAATTAGTGAGGATAAACTGATGGATATTAGCAAGTGTCTGTATGAGGTGTGATAAAAATTTCATTACCATTCATTGTATTATGTAATTTTAAGAATAAAGCAAAATATCAGGGAAGATATAGAATATTGAATTATGTAAAACTTCTCAATAAGGTATTAAGTTTATTGAAGAACTTTCACTTTTTTTTCTATTTCAGACCTTTTCTCAAATATAATTATAATATACTTAAGGAAAAGTACATATACAGTTCAGTGAGTTTTCACAAAGTGAGTATACATGTGTTCCATTTCTGCATACTTGCATAACAAATCATTTCAAAATGTACAGGCTTAAAATTGAAGCATTTGTTTCCTTCATGAATTTACAGTTTAGATAGGATTCAGAATGGGTAGCTCGAAGGCCAGGAGACTGGAAATATCTGCAGTCTCCTTCACTCATACTATGAGTCTGACTATTAATGCTACCTATTGCTGAAACTTTAGTTGTCTGTGAGCAGAATACCTATGCATGGCTTTTCCATGTGGCTCTCTCTCTATATGGCGATTGAGTATAAGGTTCAGTGTCCCAAGAAACAGGTAGAAGGCCCATGTAGAAGCTCCAGTATCTTTTTTAACCTAGAATTGAAAGTTATGCAGTGTCACTTCCACTGCATTTTGTGTGTGTGTGTGTGTGTGTGTGTGTGTGTGTGTGTGCGTGTGTGCACGCTCGCGCGCGCATGCATGCTTAGTGCTGGGGATCAAACATGGCCTCACATGCTAGGCCAGCATTCTACCACTGAGTTACACTCTCAGCATTAAAGCATTCTTTTTGCTGGAGGTCAGTCATTAAGGCCATCCCAAGTACAAGGAGGGGAAAGGAGAGCTTTACCTTTTGATAGGAAGCATTTCAATGAATCCATGGATATGTTTTAAAATTATCACACATATGAAAAACTCCTTGGTCATGAAGCAGAATATTACCAGTGCCCTGGCCTCCCCTTTTGTCATTATCTTCCATGCCAAGAGGAGTAACCATCATCCTGAGTTCTAACAGCATAGATTGTTGTTGCCTGTTTTTATATTTTATAAAAATCAAATAATAAAATATATATTCTTTTTTTTGTCTGGCTTATTTCTCTTAACATTGTGAGATTCATTCATATTATGTGTATTGTTCTTATTACTATTTATAAATCTGTTTTGTAAATGGCACATAATTTATTTATCTTTATTGTTGATAGGCATTTATGTAGCATTCAGTTTGCAGCTAATAGGAAGAGTTCTGATTTGAAATTCTAGTACATATCTTTTGGTACTTATGCACATGTGTATGTATGTATACAGATAATTCGTGTAGGTAAGAAATTACTGGGCTTAGGTTTTCTCTCTCTCTCTCTCTCTCTCAATTTCTTTTAGTTTAGTTGGACACAATACCTTTATATTATTTATTTTTATGTGGTGCTGAAGATCAAACCCAGCACCTTGTACATGCTAGGCAAGCGCTCTACGGCTGAGCCACAACCTCAAGCCCCCCCCCTTTTAAAAAAATTATTTTTAATTGTAAATGGACACAATACCTTTATTTTGTTTATTTATTTTTTATGTGCTGAGGATTGAATTTGGTGCCTCACATGTGCTAGGCAAGTGTTTGACCACTGAGCTATTATTGCCAGCCCCTTAGGATCTCTTATGTTAAACTTTAGTAGACATTGCCAGACAGTTTTCCAAATTGTGCCATTTACAATGAGTGATCATAAATATGATTTCTTACTGCCAGATTTCATGCTTGAAGTGACTAACACACTCCTATTCAATACCT